GTTCGAAAGCTATTATTATAGAAAATTTTCTCAGCAACAACTTTGCTGAAGATCGTTTCTATGTAAAAAGAGACAGGAAAAAGTTAATAATTATTTAAGAGATTGGTAAACTTATGACATGATCAAGCAGCTGCTCTGTAGGCAACAGTGTATTTTGCAGTGTGACATAGTAGCAATGATTTTTGTGTCCTATTCAACGCCCCATAAACACCAATGTTGCCTGCTGAGCAGTTGTTTGAGCATGATCATAAGACATCAGCGCATTGAACCATTGATAACTTTCGATCCTTGCATTTAATCAAAAAGTGATCTTCAACAAAGTTGTAGCATGGAAAATTTCCTACCAGTACAACTGAAAGTTTTAGAAGCAGACCGATATGGTGAATTATTAGATAGACATGAACAAAAATCTTGGTTTTCCCATAGTTATTCCCATACAAACTTCAAATGGTTTGTGCCATCTCAGTTTCTCACCAAAGGGGTTAAAATTTTGAGAGGTTAGTCAGGATCTGATTTGGAATCGTTAAAGTATTGTGGAGCGAAAATTTCAAATTTTGCATCACTCTAATGCTCATGTGGGCTGCAGCTCGCTGCTTGCGGGGAGCTTTTCGTTGTGTACTGGAGAACACCACCACTCACCACGCGGTGATTTAATAAACACCTTTTGGGGAGACCGGATGAATTCAACTTTGAAATCTGTGTTAGGGAAATCGCTTTTCACAGGCAATCGGTTATAATTTTAACTATCATAGCAACAGTTGCACATTCGTGCAATTTTCAGTAGAGTCATTTTGAAAAATGACAGTCTTAATCCAGATTCGTAGAAAATATTCCTATCGATTGGCGTATTAAGAATTAAAATACATCATCTCTGGATCAAAATCTGACCACTTTAATGCCACAACCGCCTTTGGTTTTTGAAATTGCACCCCCAATGTTAACTTCAAGAACATGGCATGTTAGATTTAAACATATCTAGATAGAGCTGGAATTAGGAGTAGCAACTTTTGTAAACAATGACTTCTCTCGATGATTTTTAGGAATTCAAGACTCGCTCACGCAAACCATTATCACCGTCGGATAGGGGAAGTCTGACCCTACCTGTGATATTGTTTTGTGTGGGCGAGCCTTGACTTTCAAGACATCATCGAAAGAAGTCATTGTTTACAAAAGCTGTTACGCCCTAATTCCAGCTCTATCTTGATATGGGAACTGCCATTCGATTGATGACCTTGACAAATGTCCAAAAATACTCTTTTACAAATTTATGGTGATCCTCAACAGGACCATTTTGTCGTGATGGTTGAGTAATGCTGAGCTATTTGGGTGTTAAACACATATGAGGCTGGTGAGCTGTATGTTGTTTGGCATAAGGCTGACGCACTTGGCATAGATGGCCCACAGCGACTCACGAAGAGCTACTGATTCCAATCAATAGCGGTGTGGCTTCTCCCTCCTTCTATGGATGATCATGTGGGCTGCAGCTCGCCGAAAGCACTGCTGCTGCTGCAGCTGGCATCAGCCAACGACCGGACACCGTGTGTGGTGGTGATTGGAACTGAATCCGATCAGCGGTTGAGGGCAGACTTGATAGCTAGCTGCTTGCGGGGAGCCTTTCGTTGTGTACTGGAGAACACCACCACTCACCACGCGGTGATTGAATAAACACCGTTTGGTGAGACCGGATAGAATTCAACTTTGAAATCTGTGTTGGAGAAATCGTTTTTAGCAGGCAATCGGTGATAGCAACAGTTGCACATTCGTGCAATTTTCAATGGTAACATATTGAAAAATGATAAATTCTTAGAAATATTTCTGATCGATTGGTGATAAAATTATTGAAATTGGTCCAGGGGCAGCTGAGTTAATAATGATCAAAATCTTTCATAATTACGTTACATGTTCCATTTTCGGTTTTCACAAAGTGTACCCCCATATAGAAATCACAGACGTAGTCCTACATCAAAAAACGGAGCTCTAGGAACAGTTTCATGTTTCAGTCTTCCAGAGAACCAAACATTTGAATTTCTTGATGCAAAATTTTCACAAAAGGAGGTCATATATCTTGTTAACAACTTTTCAGAAGACACCAGGAAGTTATCTCTTCAAGTTACCCTACAATAAGTGTTGGTCCGCAATTAGCTCTAATCCCATATGCTACGTGTATTCGTTAATGCCGGTTCTTATTGTGCGGTTCCTATTAACCTACTATAGGAATCTTGACTGTATATATAAATAAAGTTCTTTGAGGTGATATTGAGATATTGAGGTGTTGATCATATTTATCTTATCTTATACCTTATGGAACAGTTTTCATACAAGCGTTCAATCGAGAAAAAACAACGCTTCTTTTCGACTTCACCAATGCGGTCTTTGAACTCCATACCCATCACTATCCCTCCTCAACGGTGGTGTTTGGTAAAGGGGATGATCAACCCAATTCTTAACTTCCACAAACTTTTCCTTTGCGACTTTCTATCAACAATATTCACACTGCTGTACTATAACGGAACTATGAACTCTGTACTTTCATTTGACGTTAAGCATCTCCAACTAATTAATAACTTGATGAATAGAACCATTGTTGAAAAGTATTCATGAGCAGGGTCTTCGGTCTGGGTCAATGTCTGCGTTAACGTCGGAAATGCAAATTAACCATTTCAGACGTTTACGACGATTATCGATTAACAACCCTGTTCATAAACAGTTAATTTTGTGAATCAATAAATGCTTTTCGTTGAAATCAGATCACATTTCCAGTACAGTCAAGTCTCATTCTCTTCAACATGATGTTCTCCCTAACTGGGTGGAAATCTAAGCCTTTTCAACAAAATTTCCCATGCAAAATTATAAAATTTACCTTTATTTCGCTTTTTTTTTGCCTTTCTTTCTCTTTCTCTCCATTTTCTCTCTCATTCTCTCTTGTTTTATCTCATTTTCATATTTGGTTACTGCATCTATCACCATAAGGATGCTGATTGCGATACAATATGTAAGCGTAATCCTATACACGGAAATATCTCTATGCCATATACCTCAAGAAAGAGTGAAAATATCGTAAAAGGAAAGAAGAAATTCGACCTTTAGGATTACAAAATCACAAGTTTACTTATAGATTCAAATGTTTTATTTGAAAAAGCTTATCGTTTGACGTTTTAGACATCTTGCGCCATCTCTAAATGTCAACGTGAAATGCTCAATTTTTTTACTTTAGTTACTTAATTAGTCCCAATAATCATTTTCCACTTGGAAAAACATGTCCCCGAACGATTTTTAAAAATAAGTCCCACCACCCTAATGTACCTTAAGAAAATTTCAAAGATTGTTTGTATGTGTCCCACATATGATTTTTTGTAATGTGATCAACAAATGATATCTATGTGTCCGACACATACTTAATATGTGTACACATAAAAGCCATGTGTGACCGCTCATACTATTCATTTGACACACAAATTTCATGTGTACTTCTGTTTATGTGTGGTCACATGAAAATAATGCTTAATTTCACATGGAAATTCGTCAATAAAAATGTGGTAAATTTTTTGAGTGTCGGTTTTAATGGAAGCATCAGTGTCTGTCTTTATCAATTACCATCGCAAGCCATGACTAGCGCTTCAACCCAGTTTGGATGAATTGCGTTTGTTAAAAAAATCTTCATTTTTTTTTTATATATCAACGCTCGAGTAACATTGTCGAAATTTAAAGTGATTCTCAAGTGATGCTCAATAGCAAAAAAAAAAAGAATCTAGATGAAATGGCTCTAATGTTGGCCTATGGATCTAAGATTGAGCCCATCGCTTAAAATCTGCTTTTTATCAATTTTATCTATGAACGCGTCATTGGGACGGTACTAATGGATATTTTTGGTCGCTATTGAAAATGTAGTCGGTTGCTGAATATATAGGGGAATTTAGGCCGACATTACATCCATTTCCCCTATTTCGTTTTGGGAAAAATTATTTTGAATAATCAAAATCCTCAATATTATCATCAATTCAGCATGAGGTAATAATTATCCATCGATCTGAGTGTGAAAAACAACACATCACGTTTGATAGCGCTATATTTGTGTGAAATGATAATAATGATTTTGATATTGACTACAACACAGGCGATAATGAACATCCCTCCACGATTGAACAAAAACAGATGTTGGCTTCAAAACTCAGCGGTTGCCTTGATCAAGAGAATGATGTCATGTCAAAATTCAAATTAATGCAGGTAGTTGGTCCATCTTTTAGGGTAGTCTTCATTATTAGATAATTTGAGTGTGGAAGAAATGATTTTTATCAGCACTGGAGAGCATCACTGACGCAAGGTGGAGTATGGAACACAATTCAAATTTGGCTTGTCGTCACATTTGACCAAGTGACTCATTCGGTCTTATGAGATTCTCTTCTAATCCGCTCTTTTCTTAAGTTGATTTGACATTTAATAAATTTTCTTAAAACTAAACCGATATGAAACCAATGTGACGTGTGCAAACATTCAGTCAACGTAACAATAACATAACTTTTCATCATTCCAACAAATAGCACCCTTTTCGTTTATTGCCCCAAAGCAGTGGGTATCCAACTTGGGTCAAACACGTGCGAATTTCGATCCCTTTTCTTCTTTCCCAACCTAGGGGTGATGCATATATTATGGCACGCTCTAATGGGGAGAGGGTGGTGGGTTGCATAATTTTTTGACAAGCAATGCATTAGGCATTGGAAAAACGTGACAACAGGTGGGAGGGGGGTAATTTTGTCCTCAATTTAGCATGACGTAATTAATGGGTGGCCCAAAATGGGCGCTCATCGCCCGTAGGTATTTAATAGTAGCCACCCGTCTGGCACCGCAACGGAACGTGCCAGATTGAATTGTAATTCTTCGGTTATGGCTGGCGGTTGTTGTATTCCGCGGTATGTAGGTAACGACGACAGTACGTGCCTCAACCATTCTCTCCCATATACATGCATGCCACTACACAGCAGGACTGGTTCATTTTTAATTACCCTCATAAAGCCAATCCGGAACGCCATTGTAGATGATGCCCGGGATTGCGGTTCTCGTGAGCCGATACGTTTGGGTGGCTCGTGCCGACGGTTTGTAGTAGATGTCGTACGTGTGCACCAGTACTATCGCCTGGCCCTTGGGGGTGAACTCGGCGTGCAGCAGAAATGGCCACTCGTCACTGTCCGCCTTCAGGGTTAGCTGGATCGTTTCGCTGAAATGGAATACGGAGAGAGAAAAAGTGAAGAAGGAAACAATCAATGCTATGCTAAAATGAATGGTAATTTGGTGGGGAACGGATTTATGATTATGTGGTTAGCTGTAATGTGGACGTTTGCAGGACACAATATACAAGTGTTGCGCTCATGTTTCATTTCGTCCATTAGTTGGAAAATCACAGTTATTTTTTGCCAGGGAAAATGGCTTTCAATGGTATTGTGATCAACCCTTTGAAGTCGGTTCTCTCTAATTGACGATTAATCGAAATTGATATCTTTTCTAAGTTGTCTGGAAGTCCTCTAACAGCCGATCATTCTCCGGGCCATCAAGTTCCGCTGACCAAACCCATTCAAAACCGTTTAAGACTGGAGGCATTATCGTATCGTTTTACGAGCCTCTTTAGCCCATCAAACCATTATCCTTGAATTGAGAAACTGTCCACCGTGTCTCCTGCCTGCTGTGCGAAGCATTGTGATCAATGCTTTCGCAAACAATGAGCGGGAGAGCTCGGTAAATGCCTGTCATTACTATTTTAATGGTTTCATAATTGTACCATGCTGCGGAACGGTGCGAACCGTGAGTGTCTAGGATTCGCTTCGTTGGAAAGTCATTTTCATCCCTCCAAAGTTGGGTGCCATTTGGTCGTCTGACTGTTCACCAGCAAATGGTTCGAATAATGATGAAAACCTACCGCCGGAAATGTTGCTCAGTTGTGATTGAATACGGGTAGGTTCGGGCCCAACTTTGCTTAGCGTTTAGTGGTCCCATTTGCAGCTCCAGGTTCCCCTATAAACTAGGCTTTGTTTTCCTTTTTAATGAGTCATTAAATCTCAAATGTCTGCCCAGCGGTTTTCCTTTGCTTTGTGCGGTTGAGCATTTTCTAGCTCACGTGGATCGCTGAGCGTTTCCTCAGTGGAAGATGGAGAGTATTCAGCGTTAAGACCGATTGGAGTAAGAGAACGGCGGTGGTGAGTAAGCTTCCACGGAGCCCTAATCATTGTCTGTCATCCTGCTAGCCGGGGAGTACCATGGAAACATGGAAGACGGCAGTGGTGAGATTTGTCAGGATTACGATATTATTTACATTATTGGCGGGCTTTTTGTGTCCATCTGGCGTTGTGAGCTTCTTAGAAATGAAACTTTTTGCCGTTCCCTGGTTGGCTGGTTGCGGTGCTCATTGAGCCATGAAGAAAGTTGAGGCCAAGGTCAAGGTTGAAGCAAACCTTGAAACTGCTGTGCTGTCGCCAGTGAGTATTGGTAGCGCCCCTGACAAACCATGAAATTACTCCCCTTGGCAAATGTTTTTTTTTTGACGTAAGAGTGTTTCATATAAGGCCGGAACAAATATCAAGCTTTTCTTTTGTCAACCTCCCCCCCCCCCCTTCAAAATTTTAAAATATCACCAAGGGGGAAATAAAATAAAACGTGCAGTGTATATTTATTTTTTGCAAATTAAAAAAAAAATGGGTATGGATACTCGCTTTGCTAGATTTTATTATGTTGTTGTTGTTGTTGTTGTATCACCTTGTTCTTTTAAAGAATTTTCACAAAAATTGGCACTTGACCAGTACGGCATGACAGGTCCTTGAAATCGGATCAGCCGGTTCCAGTTGTTGAAAACGGATTTCATCGAACATCATTCCTAATCTTGTTTGGCAACTCACTAGGTAAGCCACCTTCAATCTGATCGATCCCTTTTGTTCGTTGCGCACATCTTCGTCTTGTTCCAGTCAGATCACTACCAAGCACCATTTTCATTGGGTCGTTATCCGACATTATTACGATGTGCCCAGCCCACCGTATTCGCCAGATTTTTGCATTCGATCTAAATTTCTCAACTTACAAACTTTCTTCAAAGAAACTTAGTGATTCACTTCTTTTCTACAGTGATTCAACAATTTCCGAGCTAATTCGAATCTTTTCAAAATTGGTTTAAAATTTTTAGAAGTGAGAAATCAGAAACTATTCAGGAAATTCCTAACTTCCTAAATTCGAATAAGTTATCAATATTTTTCTAACTGAGTCAAAACTTTTCTGTTATGTTATTCAACCCTTTTTTAAGTTGTCAAAGCTTTCCTGAAGTGATTCAACATATACCGAATCCAAGCATTAAATAATTAGTTTTGCTTTTTCTGAAGTGAGGCAACATTAGCTGATTAATCCTTTTCCTAAATAAATCCAAGGTTTCCTGTATTGATTCAACTTTTTCCGAACTGAAACCAAACTTGTCAGAGCGGGTTTGACATTTTCCTAAGTGAGCTCCAGATTTTTGTTAACTGCTTTGACATTTGGCAATCTTGCTTAGTGAAAGTGTAGAAATTTTTCTGAAGTGAACCGACAATTTGTTTAGCTTAAATTTTCCAAATGGTGTCCAACCTTTTCTGAAGTGGTTCAAAACCTTCCTTAGGGAGTCCAAACTTTTCTGTTGAGTGATTGAATTATAATGAATGTTAGTCTGAGCTTTCCTGAAGTGATTTTAACATAGCTTCCGCTCCCTAAGATCCCTTCCTCGTTCTTGTGAGATTGAAATCCTTTGAAAATTAGGCTGAGATTTTAAAGAATGGACCTTCGTGTGTTCATACCTGATGGTAGATTTTTTTTTAAGCAAGCACAATTGTTGAGAAAACTGGCTTTACATCATCAACAGTACGTATTTTTATAGAAATTTGGGTTTCTTGATCAGCCAAGTTGGATTTTGGCTCCATCCTTTGAAAAACAGGCTTGGATGTTATAGAATAGACCTTTGAGTTCATACGTGATGGTAGATTTTTTGAATCCATTTGTCTGTTTTGCCGAACTGAATTTTGGCTTCTATATTTGAAAAATAAGCTTGTATTTTAATAGATGTTGCTGAATCCATTAGTGAGGGTTGAATTTCTTCAATTTTTGAGAATACCGAGTTTAAATTCACGAAATTACGTATTTTCACAAAAACTTTGATTTTCTGTTCTGCCAAGTTGAATTTCGACTCCGATCTTTGAAAATTGACTTGAAATACGTGATGGTAAATTTTTTGAAGCATTCACAATTTTGTAGAAAACTGGGTTTGAATTCTCAAAAGTACGTATTTTTATTGAGGGGGAGAGGTAGCTCATCGATTCTTCCGGTTCGCCTCCTAGCATCGTGCTATAAGGTACCAGGCGATAACCAGGGTAGTTGATCGATAGCTCGATGACGTCATTTCGTTGGCGTCTGCAATGGGGAATTCTCATAGCAGGCGTTGACGATGGGACGTTGTCGAGTTGTTGAATAGCAACTATCGTGGTAACTCACCGATTACCTGTCGATCTGCCAAATTTGGAAAGACGTCTGCATTGAATTGTCTCATATAATAATATTCCGCCCACTATATCACAAGAAATTGCGAGTAGCTGAGTGGAATGTAGATAAGTTAAGCATTGGGTACAGGACCAAGTTTCCCCTGGGTGGTGCCAAAAGATGAGCGCAATAGAATCATCAAGTTGCCATAAGGCACGGAATGAGACTATTGCATGGCTGGGTAGTCACAGTCTGCCATTCGTTAGTCATTTCAGGTGGATTAGAACAGGTTTAGGTGGGCGTTGGCCAGATTTGGATTTTTCAGATGTGATCCTGGATAGGACCCTGTCATTGAACGTCGCGTGAAAGTGGAACTTAATGAAGGCCTAAGTACTTTTTCGTAGTTTTTAGTTTTCGGATTTGAAAGATCGTCGGTTACAGTGGCCTGCTTACTGAGCAGAAAAACGCGGTCCCAGGTCCTTACATATCAAAGAGATTTATGGTAAAATCGCTTGTGTATCGTGTATTTTGCGAAACTCGTTGTTGTCGTTGGTTCCGGGTTTGAATGGATACACAAATTTGACCAACGGTATTATGTGATATGAGGGGCTCGGTGGCCTTAGAGCAACCGTTTTTGCTTACTGAGCAGAACATCATGAGTCTAATCTCAGGCCAATCCACATTCAAGATTCGTCAATCGTTTTATTTGTTAATATGACTACATGGTAATAACAGCAACTCGGTGATTAAAAAGGTGCTCGTCTGCCTAGTGGCAAACGTTTTTGCTTACTGAGCAGAAGACCGTGGGTTTAGTCCAAGCTCCTTCGCGTTATATGATCGTTAGGACATCAATTCAGCTTATCGTTTACCAAAACGAACCCTGCTGCAAACCCAACCCTCTTATCCAACATCCCAGTGATTCCTCGTGGAAGTGCAGAGGTGTTCTCGGCTTCCATCAAAGCGAGTGTCATGTCAACACAATCCTTCCCATTCCTTTCTTGACCTGTGTTCGGGCGCGGCCGGCGCTGGTATTGCCTAATTTAAGATCACCAGTTTTTACACATTGAGGATGATTGCTAGTCCCAAGCATCGTCTATTGGTTCTCTGTGTAATTACAGCTGATCTGGCAGTAACAGAGTAGCAACCGTGGGCGGTCAATCAAGCTCAAGCTCAAGCTCAAGCTCAAAAGTACGTATTTTTATTGAAATTTGGGTTTCTCGTTTAGCCAAGTTGAATTTCGGCTCCTTCCTTTGAAAAATAGGAGTGGATTTTACTGAATTGCTGAATCCATCCGTATTTTCATAGAAATTTGATTTTTCGGTTCTGCCAAATTGCATTATCTGCTTGCTCATATCTTTGAAGAATAGGCTTGTATTTTTTAGAATGGAGCTTGCTGAATCCATACGTGAAGGTTGAACCGGGTTTGTAATTCGAAAAGATTTTTGTTTTGTTTTTCTTTTTTGTTAAGTTGGATTTTGATACTGTCCTTTGAAAGTTATGCTTAGATTTTATAGAATTGACCTTGCTGGATTCATATGTGATGATTTTTTAAGCACACACAATGCCAGGTTTAAGTTGACAAAACTACGTATTTTTGATGAAATTTGGTTTTTATGTTCAGCCAAGATGGATTTTGGCTCCTTCCTTTAAATATTACGCTTGGATTTGGTTGAATAGACCTTCCTGAATCCATACGTTAAGTTAGATTTTTTGAAGCACGCACAATTGTTGAGAAAA